CCCTTTGCACCAAGAGGAGCTGGTGACACAGGTGGTCATGGCAGATTCAAGCCGGGGAGAGAGATGCCCTCCTTAGGAGGGTGGCATGCGCTCCTGGGCGGTGCCAGGCCACACACTCTCTTCCCTCCTCCCCAGCTTGCAAAACCAGAGTGGGCTCCTGATTTTGGGCCCTCAACTTTTGTCCCCCGATGGGGAGCCACAGTGACGGGTGCCCGGACCTTCCTTATTGCATACAACATCAACCTGCTGTGCACCAAGGAGCTGGCCCACCGCATTGCCCTCAACATCCGTGAGCAGGGCCGTGGCCCCAACCAGGTACCTCAAGAGCACAGGCACACCAGGAGCATCCCTGCCTGTCCCCACACCTCCTGGGCTGTGCCCTGAGTGTGGCAGTTGTTGGCAGCCCGGGCGCTTGAGGAAGGTGCAGGGCATCGGCTGGTATTTGGAGGAGGAGAACATGGCCCAGGTTTCTACGAACCTGCTGGACTTTGAGACCACGCCACTCCACACCGTCTACGAGGAGGTCTGCCGAGATGCACAGGTGGGTGGCCTGGGGTGCTCATTCCCAAGGGGGCTTCCCAGACGATGTCTCCCACCAAGTTTTCTTCCCCACTGTCAGGTCAGGCTCTGGTTTCTCTCATGCTTAGCTCGGCCAAAGTGCTAAATATCACAAAACCCCCAGAAACTCAGCAACTTGCTGTGAACCCCTAGCTCCTCTGTTGAAAGCTTTTCTGTGAGCTTCCCATGTCCTGGGAAGGGATGAGGACCACCAGGCTGAGGTAGTAGTGGCAGCAGGGCTCTGGGGAAAATCACATTTCTGATGTCCTTTGCAGGAACTGAATCTCCCTGTGGTGGGGTCTCAGCTGGTAGGGCTTGTTCCCAAGAAGGCCATGCTGGATGCAGCAGACTTTTACATCAAGAAGGAAAAACTCTTCATCTTGGAGGAGGAACAAAAGATCAGGCTGGTAGTGTGGCTTCTCCTGATACCAGCACAAGGGTGGGATCATGGAAGAGACACATCCTACCCCCCCACCAGCCTCCCAAAGTGACACTGAGCACCGATTTGGGACTGCTCAGGCCTCAGGCATGACACTTGTCTCCAACGTGTATTTTGCGGGAGGACAGCAAGTGGGACAAGTTGCTTTATTGTGCTGAGGATGCCGAAATGCACAGGGAGCAGGAAAAACAACGCAGGTGGACTGAGTGTGGGTAGCAGCTGCTTGCCTGGCCTGCATGGAGGCCAGGAGGGGAGGACGTGTACCCAGAGCTCAAGGACAGTGTGTGGCACTATGGGAGGCTGTCCCAGGATGGGGAATGAGCTGGAAAGGAGGAGACAGGCTCTGCTGTTCCACTGCAGGAGGGAGGGACTTTTCCAGCCTGTGGGGAACGTGCTAGATAAGAGCAAGGTAATGATTTATCTGTACAGCTCCCAGTCATTCAGAGGTGACCGCATATCACCCCCTAGTCTGCGACGGGATGGGCTGGTGGTGCCAGCTGTCCTCTCCCTGGGTGGTGGCCCAGTCCCAGCGCTGACTCACGCATGGTTAATTAGCAGTGGGGAATGAGGATGCAGCAGAACTTATGTGACAGGGCTGACACAGTGGTGCTGCTCCTTGCAGGTGGTCAGTCGTCTGGGCCTGGACTCGCTGTCTCCATTTCAGCCCCGGGAGCGCATCATCGAGTAGGGATCCACATCCTACTTCTTGTCATGGTGCCCACCTCCCTGGATGGGGGGGATCCTGATGCCTGCATCCTGCACTCGGCTTGTTCTGGGAGTGGTGGCTGCTCCCAGCTCCTCTTCACCTCCTGGGGACATCTCTGCTGGGTGTTGTGCAGGAGCAGGGTGGTCCCTGCTAACAAATGCTGATAGTTGTGAACGTGGAGTGGGGGAAGTCCAGGTGTCTTCAGCAGGCAGTAGAAGCAGGTTTTGTGGCCAGATTTGAATGTTAAATTCCTTACCCTATTCCCATGCAAAACTCCACTGCCTCTGGTTCACATGCTGCAGCACCTGGTGTGAAACATAAGTCTGTGGGGGGAAAGGAAGGGAAATCTATCCATGAGGTGAAATTCTTGTCACCCTTCCTGGGCCATGGCTGCAGGGGCATTTCTGTCCCACCAAATGCTGCTTGTATCAGCCCAACCTGGCTAATGCAGAGCAATGCCCATACCACCTGTGTTCACCAGATGTCCCCAAGGGCCCAGTACTTACCCTGGCCCTCAGGCTGAGTTTTTTGTCTTAGTCCCCTACTCATTCACAGGGTTGATGCTGGAGAGGGCAGTGCTGGGTGAGAAGGGTCTGGGTGGTGTTGGTGTCCCTACACCCGGAGGGCTCTAAAACACCTGTCCTGCAGGTACTTGGTGGAGGCAGGAGAGGTAGATGGGGGGCTGGTGGCCAAGCCTCTGGGTGCCTTTGTGCGAGCAGTCGGAGCGAGGTCAGCAGCGCCGGGAGGAGGCTCCGTGTCTGCAGCTGTGGGAGCCCTGGTATGTGCCCCACACCAGGAGAGAGGCCTGGGAGTCCTGGGTGCGCCAAGGGGAGCTGGCATGGTGGTTGAAGTGGGCACTGTGTCCTACTGAAGTATTTCCCCTGGCAGGGAGCAGCGCTGGGCAGCATGGTGGGGCTGATGAGCTACGGGAAGCGGCAGTTTGAGAACCTGGACCCCATCATGAGGAAGCTGATCCCCCCTTTCCACCAGGCCGTGGAGGAGCTGGTGGCAATGGTGGATGCCGACTCCCAGGCCTTCAGCAGCTACATGGTGAGGTCCCACCAGAGGCATCCTGAAGGGAAACAGGAGAGCTTTCTAGCTGGGAGGAGGGCTGGGATCACTGCCCTCTGGATTCCTTAGGAACAGGGCTCTGACCTTAGAATAACAGAATCATTAATGTTGGAAAAGACCTCCAAGGTTATCAAGTCCGACGTTCTACTGAGTACACCCATGCCCCCTAAACTATATGGCAAAGTGCCATGTCTGCTTGGTTTTTGAACACTTCCGGGGTCTGGGGAAGGGACATCGTCACATAAGGGAGGTTTGGAAGAGCACGGGAGCTATGGGATTTGTCCCAACACCCGATGCAAGACACGGTCTGGGTGATGGCAGCAAACGTGCTTTTCTTTGCCTACAGGAAGCCATGAAGCTGCCCAAGAACACCCCTGAGGAACAGGAAAGGTGAGCTGGGCAGGTGGGGACTGGCTGACTGTGGGGGCACAGCCACCTATCATTCAACCCAGGGCTGTCCCCCGCCAGGCGCGCAGCTGCCATGCAGCAGGGGCTGAAGACAGCCGTGGGGGTGCCCTATGGCCTGGCAGAGAAGGTGAGCGGACTCTGGCCCTCTCTGAAGGAGCTGGCACGACACTGCAACCTTGCCTGCAAATCTGACATCCAGGTATGGCTCCAGCTCACACACACTTGTCCTGCAAGGTGTTCGTGTTCCCTCATGTCCTAACCTCCAGGATACATCTCTCCAGATGTGCTTCCTAAACTGGCCGGTGGCTTCCACCACTGGAATTCTTTGATAGCCACTTCCTGAGACTACCAACATATTGGAGAGCGCTGCATGCTGCTGGGTGGTTCAGGGTGGGAGTGCTGCAGCATAAGGGTTTGACCTGCTTCAGCACCGTATGGTGGAGCTTCTCACAAGCCTGACTTTTCCCAGGTGGGAGCCAAAATGCTAGAAGCAGCAGTGTTCGGAGCTTACTTCAACGTCATGATCAACCTCAAGGACATCACAGATGAGAAGTTCAAGCTTGTGGTGAGCTGGGCTGTGTGGGTGCCCCCTGCACAGGCACACCCTGAGGAGTGGTGGAGATCGCGGTGGTGCCCCAGAACCCCTCGTGCTCCTCTGCCGCCGGCAGGACGCATAGGGTGCATGGTGGATGGCTCTTCTGGCCTGTCAAGTGGCAAATTACTTATCTTGTCCCCACACAGATGTCACAGAAGGTGTCCAGGCTGCTGGAAGAGGCGAAGCAAGACTCAGCGGTTGTGCTGGAACTGCTGGACAAACGGGTGGCCTGAGAAGGGCTTGGGAGTGCTCTGGGCGATCTGCCAGTGGCAAATACATCTGGGAAATACTCTTGTCCCTGCCTAGTCGCTGTTGGTATCTGCCTCTGGAGAGCTGGTCTGCTCAAGCACATCCAGCATCATATCCCCTGGCCTTTCCATGGACAAGGGGGATTTTTGCTGTCTGGCTCCATCCTCTGATCCCTGGGGTGACTGGGTAGACAACTGGCTTGGCAGTGCCTGGGACCACAGTGATCCTAACAGAAGGGATGGCAGGATCCCTGTAGCACTGTCTACAAGAGGTTCCCGGTGCATGAGCACCTCCTGACCCTGCACAGTCCCTGTGTCCAGAAACCCCCATGAAACACCCTCCTACCCGAGATCTGGGACAAGACCTGGCACGGTCCCTTTCTGACGGGTGTCTTTCAGGCTGTGTGTGACCATTCCAACCTGTTGAATTGCCTAGGAAGGGAGCACTGCCAAACATGAGGCACCATCAGAGGTGTTAACAGGGAGATGGGGTCGGTTGAGATGGGAGAAATCCTACCCCTTCCTTATAGATCTTCTAAAAGGAAAACCTGAAAATCAGGGCACCCAGCCCTGCCTCCTGTCCCTGTTGATCGGGTCTGTCAGCAGATAGTGTGTCCTCCACCCGCACACCGCAGCAGCACCCTGAGCAGTGTCAGGCCCCCAGACGCCACTGTCCCACAGCCCCGTCTGCGGGAAGGTCACCCCTGTTCCTGGACACTGTGCTTGAGCGGGAGCACCGAGTCGGGGTTCATGGTGGGGTCAGCTGACTCACCCCATCCCTCCCTCGACATCGGGAGCTGGAATTACAGCCCTCCATAGCCTGTGTTTATTATCCCCTTTGTGGGACCTTTGTGCTGGCTGGGAGCGGAGTGTTGACGTTTCTTGCGTGCCCATGGTGACAGGGTGGTGTCACCTCTCCGGTGTCACCCCTGCCTGCCACACCCCTGCTCAAAGGGGCAGGGCCCCGCTATTTAACGGATGCCCTACAGCCGGGAGAGCCAAGGACCCGGAGTGCTGCCAGTGTGGCTTCTTCTGGGAACTTTTCCACAGGTTTGGTGAGTGCAGGGCAGCATCAGGCAGCGGGAGCATGGGCACCTGTGGGCCAGGGTGCACTGTCCCCACGGTGGGCACTACACCCAGGCATGTGTCCCCAGTCTCTTGTGGCCCACAAGGACATGAGCTCGGTACCCAGGCTGGGCCAGTGTGGATTTATTTCTATTAACAATGGAAACCACATGCCTGGGCTTTGGGGGTGAATGGAGAGGGGTGGGGGACAGTTGCTCTGGAGGTTGGCGATGTCACCAAAGGGACAGGATGGCATTTGGGGTCTGGGGGGGGATGGCATTCTGAGGGAAGTGAGCATGGTCCCTGTGCTGGGGGCAGACATGTGGGACAGAGGAGACGGGTCCCAGATGCTGGCCGAGCGATGTCCCATGGCAGGAGGTGACTGATGGTGCCTGTCCTTCCCTTTCAGCTTGGAGACCACTGAGGATGTGTGACCCCAACCAAGGTGAGGGGCTGTGGGGCCAGGCAGGGCTGAAGGTACCACACAGCCATCAGGGCTTAGAGGGGAGCTCTGTGCCATGGCCATGTGCACCTGGGAGGTTTACCTGAATCCCAAAGGGATGTGGAGTGTCCTTTGTGAGGAAGAGGTAGACCAGGGTGGGCCCTTTGGGTGGAAGACCACACCAGCTTCCTGCACTGTCTGTCTGGGGAGAGCCTGTCTCTGCTCATTAACAGGCTCCTCTTCTTCCTAGGCCCACCACAACCGTACCTTGCCGTATGCCCTCCTGCCCCTTCAGGATACCCTGGTCCTGGCATGGGTGGTGGCATTGCAGTTTGCCCTGCTGCCCCTCCAGGACACCCCGGTCCTGGCACAGGTCCCTGCTCTGGCAGTGTGCCAGTCTGCTCCCCACACCCTGCTCCGCCTGGCCAGCACCCCCACGGGCACCCCCCGTTGGGGCATCACCCCCACGGGCACCCCCCGTTGGGGCATCACCCCCACGGGCACCAGGAGCACCATGAGAAGCACCATGAGAAGCACCATAAGAAGCACCATGAGAAGCACCATAAGAAGAAGCACTGCAAGCACCATGAAGGCAAGGTAAGAGTGGGACAGGAGTGAACCCTTCCCTATTTCTGCTGAGGACCTCCTCCAGCAGACCACAGCATCTGGCCCAAGCAGCTGGGGCTCTCTTCTCCTACCCTGTAGTGGCTGGAGCAAACTGCCCGAACATCAGTGGCTTTTTTTAGATGTGGAAACTCATTGGAATAATAAATAGGCAAGAATGAGTCATAGTAAGTGAGTAAGTTGAAAAGCAATCCATGAAATTCCTTGAAGACATTTAAAGTGGTAGCATGGCTTGGGGCACGGCTTGCAGTGTATTAAATCCCAGGACTTTGTCCGACTCACTTGAGTGCAAGTCATGCCCCCATAATGGATGATTACTCAGTGTCTTGTAGCAGAGGAACTGTTTGGCTCCTCCTTAAAAAACAAAACAAACAAACAAAAAAATAAACTCACAAAAAAAAAAAACCCAAAAAACAACAACCTAAGCAAAACAAAACAGAAAAGGAGAAGCAATTCCCTGTGCTTAGAGTAGATTCTGCAGAAAATACCATTCGAGGGATGGGCACCATCCTGAGCAGGTCTGAATGAGGGACTGCTGAACAAGGCCAACACTGAAGGCGGAAGCGTTTCTCAAACAAATCCTAACAGCAGCTCCCCTCACTGGGAAACAGCTCTGGAAGTGACCTGCTGTGATGCTGGTCCTTGCTGGCAGAGAGCAAGACCTTTCTGAAATTTCCTTTAGTGACTTTAAAAGTCGTGTAAAAAAAATCATAAAAAACTCCAGCCCTGCCACAGTATGGGGCAGCCACCACAGGGTCACTAACCCATCTCAGGAATGCTGTGACATGCTCGTTTCCCTGCTGTCCTAAAGTTGTTTTCTTTCCCCAGCCCTCTGGTGGTCCGTGCAGCTCAAGCAGCAGCTCAAGCAGCAGCTCTGACTCTGACTAAAGGTCTGGCATGTCCCACCTGCTCCGTGGTGATCAGCATAACATGAGGCCAAACTCCTCTTGGGAACGCCTTGCGTGTCACTCCCCTCCCTCCCCCTTTCCCTTGGAACAATGTTTTGCCTGCTGATTTTTCTTGTGTGTAAGAGCTTGTAAATCCTTTGACCTGGAATCTCCGAGTCAATGAACAACACTTCCACCCTCTATCTTTTGGGAGAGCCTGCTGGAAGTCATCACCTGCTGTTTTCCAATCTGCTCGTGTCTGTGTGTTTTTTCCTGTGCAATGATGCTGGCTGCTAACACAGATCCCATAAAACTCCTTACATTTTGTGTGAGCTTTCCCAGATGTAGCAGAGGGAGTGGCTGGGGGATGCTGTAATTATGTGGGCTGCCATGCTACATGCCAGGGTAATAATTGATAGGAAAAAGCTCACCATGGCAGAAGGATTCTCCTACAAACAGATGAGGAGCATGAACAGCTGGAAGTGTTCAAGACCAGTGCTTGGAGCAATGGCAGGAGGAGTGGAATGACATGAACTTTCAGTTCCTTCCCAACCAAAACCATTCTGTGATTCCATGATTATCTGGACTTACCAACCTGAAACCAGAAGAATCAGCTGCTCACTAAAAATAATTTTTAAAATCCCCACTGTTGCAGCCTGAATTGCTGGGAGTGAGGTCCATGGTAAGGAAGCAAAAAGGACCTTTGCATAATATCCACTGATGTTTAATTCAGCTGCACAGTGAGATGTTCAGAGTCCAAGGCACACTCATCAGGAGACTCCAGGTTTCTCTGTTGAGGGGCCCAGGGGCAAACCTGGTCTCGGGGCGGTACAAAGATGAGGGCCAATCTGGGAATAGGGAGGGAGGGGCTCAGGGACATAGGAACAGCAGAAGGAGCCAATGGAGTCTTAACAGCTTTTTGAGGGAAGCATCTTGTGTCTCCCTAACCCAGGGGATGCCCCCCAGGGTCTCCAAACCCCACAACTACAGAAAAAAGAGGCTTTTTCAGGATAGGTTGGAAAAGGTTTGTTTATTTTTGCAGACAGCACAATTTGAGTTCAAATCTGGGCATTGATGAGTAGATACTGGTGGGAGGAAGGTACCAGCTTTGAGCTTACTAGGATGACTGGAAGGCAGCTCTGGTGGCTGTCCAGTATTTTGTTGATGCTGGGAGTTATGCTGCCCCTCTCAGATGAATTTCTGCATGCAGTAATAGATTACCAGGTTCTGATGAAGGGCAGAATAACAGAAGGAATCAAGGCAGGTATGGCCCACAGGAAAATAAAGATCTTAGAGATGACTTGCAAAATTTATGATAGATAAACCCGCCCCCCAAAAGGGGCAACTGTGGAAGGAAGCAAAACCTCTCACACCAGCCTGCTGTTCCCAGAAAGGCGGAGCAAGAGGCACTGAGAGATATTGAAAACTTGAGTTATTAATTGGTCCTGCTACAGTGGAAAGGTTTCTTGCATCTCTGATAAGCCCTCCTAGGATTACAGTACGTACACAAGTCATGGCTTAGGGTGTGCAGAGCTTTACAGAAGTACTTCATATGGCTCTGTATCCTGCTTTGATCTGGTTTTTAATTAGCACCATAAATGTAAGATATGTGACTCTTCATCATGAAAATCAATAAAGAGCTCTGGATTTTGGTTAGAAAGAAGGACCTAGAAGGCAAGTCTTCAGGGCTAGCAACCATACAGGGGGAAGAAAATACAACAGGTAATATCAGGTGTGTGTATATGAGTGAGAGAAGGATTGTGCTTGTGCACTTCTTTTAACAAATCCACCGAATGAACCTGTCGAAGAAGCTGGGCTGGGAGAGGCTGTCATAGTCCTTCTCCCGGAAGATGGCTGCCCGGTCCCCCAGGCCAAGCTTCAGCAGGACATCCATGTCCACATCGCTCCCCAGAGCCACCACCGTGGGCATGACATCTTGCTTCTTCATGGAGTTGATGGCCTCCTCCAGGTTCTTGCTTCCTGTGATGCCGTCAGTGATGAAGACGAAGGAGAGCTCAGCATTGCGCCGGGCAAGTCGCTGCCCGTTGCCTGGGCTGAGCACAATGTTGTTGATGGCATGGATGATGGCTGACCCGATGTTGGAGGACGAGTCCAGGTACTTGATCTGTGCCAGCGCGTCGGAGATCTCGGTGAGGTTGTGGGTCAGCGGGAAGACCACGTTGTGGTCCCGCTCGCTGCCGTACTGCAGCAGCGCGATCCGGGCGTTCATGAGATCGCTGCTGCTCCGGGCCAGCATCAGCTGCTGGGCCACATCCTCCACGAAGCGGTGGGCACGCTGGAAGTTCTGCTCTCCAATCCTTTCCGAGCCGTCCAGCAAGAAGACGATGTCAACAGGGCGCTGCGTGCACTGGGCTACAGCAAGCTCTGCAGGGGGAAGAAGACAGGAGCTGGGAGGATGAGAAGCCTACAGGATAATTTGGGCTGGAGTTGGCTCTGTGCATCCTTGTCCAAAGAAGAACCAGCCCAACACCACTGCCAAAGCCTGTCTTTACAGCTTGAAATGTAGCTTGGAGCAACAAATGGAGCTTTGCTTCTGATGCTCTCAGCTACTGGGCATTTAATGAATGTTAATTCTGGGGCTGATGGCAGATCCTCGTGAAGTTAGACAGGTCTGTTCATGTCAGTCCCAGAATTACACCCGCTGCCCTGCATCAATTTCCAGCTCTTATTTTTGAGAGAAATATCCAGAGATTAATGGAAAGCAGCATCTGCAAACCTCTCAGTTACTTTGAGAGAGCAGTTTACTGTCAGAGTTACTCTTATCATAAAATCATAGAATCAGAGAATCTGAGAATGATTTGGGTTGGAGGGAACCTAAAGATTTATCTTGTTCCAACCCCCTGACATGGGAAGGTACAACTTCCACTAGACCAGGTTGCCCCAAGCCCAGTCTAACCATATAGAATACATATATGAATATATGCAGTGAATAAACTCAGGAAAAAACAAAAAGGACAAGAAAGTAGCTATCTTTCGAGTCAGCTGATGGGGACCATTATTTCCTCCCCTTTCTGTAGTTATGTGCATTGCATTCAGTGTTCCTCTGAGTTCCTCCCGAGCTGGCAGCAGAGCATAGCACTCTGAAGTAGTTCTGTGGGTCTGAGACTAAATCTTGAAAGGGCGAGGTCCTGAAGATGTTGCCATGTTGTGCTGCATCCCTGACAAACAATAGGAGCTTCTGGAGCAACCCCACCTTGAGCATCCATTTCTGGTAACAAGGGGTAACTTTGGGGGTAGGAGTGTAACGTTACATTGAATTTCCACACTATGAGTGAATCCAGCCTGACAAAAAGCTTCCCTAGTGCTGAACAGTGCTATGCCTGGGTCCAGCACAGAACTGGGGAGTCAGAGAATCTGAATGGTTAGAAAAGCCCTCTGACATTCTCTTGTCCAACCATTAACTCAACACTATTGTGTTAACCTTTAAACCATATCCCTAAGAACAACATCATATTTTTGAACATTTTAATGGATGATGACTCCACTGTTTCCCTGGGCAGCCTGTTTCAGTGCCTGACCACCCTTTCAGTGAAGAAATTTCCCTTAATATCCAACCTAAATCTCCCCTGGTGCAACCTGAGGCCACTTCCTTTTGTCGTCTCACTTGTTATCTCCCTTCTTTTAAAGCAATAAAGGCACATACTCACCTCTGCCCAAAATTTGTGAGAAATGTTGTATAAAGGCAAGTTGATGCTGCAGTTCCTGGTACACAGGCACTGCTGCCATGAGGACACCTCGCCTTGGCAGCACCTGCACTCCTGGTCCTCACCTGCTCTGAGTAGCCATGGAAGGGGAAAGGCAGGAAGGAATCCCCTTGCAACCACACAGTGCAACACCTATGTGAGAGTCTGTGAAAGCAGCTGGGAGCAGGGGCTGTGCATCGTGTTGGGGTAGTGTTAACAGCCTTCCCCAAGGCCTGCCCACATGTTTTTTAAGACGACAAGAAAGCCTGAAGAGCTCCTGGCTAAGCAGATAGCAGCATCACTCCATGGAGCTTCAGTGAGAGTGCAGTGCACATCTGATAGGAGCATTCCCCAGGCCCGCTGCTCAGCCCTCACAGCTGAAGAAGTCTGCCTTCTGGTGCTTGATAAGGTGCCTTTACATACATTTATCACAAGGGAATGTGAGGCAGCAAAGCCTCGGGTTTGTCCTGTTCAGTGTCAGGCTCTGGTTGCGGCTAGTTCCCATTTCTGAGAGGCTGAGGACCTGAGCACCCTTTCCTGCAGCAAGATTCTCATCCTAACTGGAAGAGAAGCTCCCAAAGGCACCACCATGAATTAGGCCAACTAAAATCTTCCTGTTGTGCTTTTAACTGGTGCATTGATCCCTTTCATGTGGATCATGAATGCCTGTGGCTCACAGCTGAGGATGTCTAACAAAGGCAGCAAAAATAATCAGAAATACCATTGATTTTTCTGCCATTAGTGTGTGCAGGGCAACCCCACCCATTCACATCACCTTCCTGCTTCTTATAAAACCTGAGGAACTTGTATTTCCTCTATTCTTTCCCAGTGTTGACAGTGGAGATGAAAAGTGAGGTGGGGACTCACATCCCAGACCTTTTTGGGGTTTCCCCCTTTCCCAGTCCCTCCTGTCTTTGGGGAGGCATGAACCATCCTTTACAGAGCTCCTCATCTGTCCTTCCTTTACCCAAGAGCTTCACTGAAGGAACTGCTACTGTGATGAAGTCCATCTGGTTTTATAAGAGGGATTAGCTAGGATTATGCTCAAAAAAACACTCCTTCACCCATTTACCTCTAACAAGAACATGCACAAATACTCCTCATGCAAAGAGACATTTTCTCCCTCTCCTCACCTCTAAAGAGCTGAAGGGTTTTGAGAGATAAAAAACTTTGTTTCTAATGTTTTGCTAGGAATAAATGGCCACTGTGTGATGAAATTAAATAAAATCAACACCCCCTTTGCTGAAATCTACCCTAATTCTCTCTTTGTTTGGCAAAATGTCCCAGCCCTGAAATCTTTTTGAATCAGTGGGGTTTGGGAGCTTTTCCTCTGGCATCATGGCTGGAGCAGCTTAACTACTCTGAGTTCAGTCCTGCATCCCAGCACGCTAAGTCACACTCATTTTGCAGTAAAAAAATCAAAAGAGAGGGAGTAAAAAATCAAAATCAAACTCCAAAGGGAGTTTGGCTTTGCACAGACTATCTGGAATACGTGAATTATGACCAGAGTTAGGCAGAAACTCATCTTTTTGCTTTCACCTAAA